ATATGAACTTTGACCCTTAGAAAGTAAAAGTGAAGAGGCACAACGTGTCAACTCCCTTAGGATAGGTCTGAGAAACAGGGGTAGGAAAGGAGAAGTAAGAAACAGAGGAAGAGAGGCACAACGTGTCTACGTGCAGTACGTGCACTCTCCTAAAATAGTAAAAGACAAAGGGGTGAAGAAATACAAAGTAAGAAACTGAAATGAAAAGGCACCACATTGCGTAAATGCTTCCCCTTAGAATAGGGTGGAAATTATGAAAAGGGGACAGGGACACAAGTGAAGAGGGACAACAGTGAAGAGGGACAACAGTGAAGAGGGACAACAGTGAAGAGGCACAACGTGTCTAACCTTGACGTAATTGCACTCCCCAAAGGGAAAGAAAGTAAACAGTATAAGCAGAAAAGCATTGAAAAACATTCCAGTAATAGGTTATGATAAATGTGTGTATGTATCCTGGGATGAGGATCAGCACCTCCAATCTGAGGCCATGGTTCTCAGAGGAAAACCGATGGACTGTCCACCTCCAGGTAGGGAATGAGTCCTTACCCCAAGTGAAGGAGTTCAAGTATCTCGGGGTCTTGTTCTCGAGTGAGGGAACAATGGAGCGTGAGATGGGCCGGAGAATCGGAAGCAGCGGGGAGCGGTACTGCAGTCGCTTTACCGCACCGTTGTGATGAAAAGGAGCTGAGCCAGAAGGCAAAGCTCTCGGTCTTCCGGGCCATTTTCGTTCCTACCCTCACCTATGGTCATGAAGGATGGGTCATGACCGAAAGAACGAGATCGCGGATACAAGCGGCCGAGATGGGTTTTCTCCGCAGGGTGGCTGGTTGTCTCCCTTAGGGATAAGGTGAGAAGTTCGGTCATCAGGGAGGGACTCGGAGTTGAGCCGCTCCTCCTTCGCGTCGAAAGGAGCCAGTTGAGGTGGTTCGGGCACCTAGTTAGGATGCCACCTGGGCGCCCTCCCTAGGGAGGTGTTCCAGGCACGTCCAGCTGGGAAGAGACCAAGGGGTAGACCTAGGACCAGGTGGAGGGATTATATCTCTTCGCTGGCCTGGGGAGCGCCTTGGGATCCCCCAGTCAGAGCTGGTTGATGTCGCCAGGGAAAAGAAAGTTTGGGGGCTATCTCTGGAACTGCTACCCCCGCGACCCGACCACGGATAAGCGGGGAGAAGATGGATGGGATGGATGGATGGATGTATCCTTTATTTAACCAGGTAAAGACTCATTGAGATTAAAATCTCTTTTCCAAGAGCGACCTGGCCAAGAAGGGCAGCATGAACAAAGTTACAACAAATGAACACAGACAATACAAGCAGACAAATACAGCTGTAAAACACAAATTAAATGGCACATTAGCCAGTCAATATGCAAAATAAAAGAAACTATTAAAAATCATTAAAAACTGGCAAAATGTAAAACGACTTGACTTCAATTTTGGGATGTACGAGCACTCGCATCTATATGGCTTCTTGTTCTCTGTCCTTTAAGATGGACTTGAATTCCCCCATAGTGATAACAATCTGAGAGTTTCAGCTCCTTCTGTACATTACTCCAAGCAGAGGGGGCAGCATATTTAAAAGCTGTTTTACCCAGTTCTGTTCTTACTTTAGGAACCAGCATCTGAATAAAATCGTGTTTATGAACATGGCCAAAATTAACGGCATAAAGAAGCAACTTTTCTGTAACTGCACACATGTATTGGTGTGAGCATGATTTATTTATTTTTTATAGTGCACATGGAACTCAATTATGACTTTGCAGCATAAGTGTCGGATTACAATTTTGTGTCACTTGCAACAAAAAGAAAGTTACAAGCCGGGGTAAAATGTAATTATTATGTATTATAAACATCAAGCTGTGCTCTGTCCTTGACTTTACCCTTTGACAGCACAGATTCTTTCATCTCTCCAACAAAATCCATCTTTAGAGAAAATGAATGCCACAAATCCCAGTCTTACCCTCCGTCAGTGGCTTCAAAGGGAGCGTGACCTCCTTGAAAATGAACAGACACATTAAGAATCGTCTGGTTACATAAACAGCATCTGTGTCTACAGGCTGTGTGAGTGATGTTTCAATATGCTGACCGCATTGTGGTTATGTGTGCATGGATACATGTGTGAATGTTTGCTTACACACATAAAGTCTCTCAGTCACAGGAGAAACTGGCTATAAACTCAACATGCGAGTCAAACATTGTCACTTACTTATTTTGTATTTGTTTGCACTTATTAGTAAAAATTAGGTTGAACATTAAATAGGACGCTTTTTGGTGCAATGTGCTACATGTCCATATTTATACAGATTTGCATGCAGTGAGCAGAACTGCAAGAGGAATGAACCTTCAAGAATAAGCACACTCAGATTGTTCCGCTCAGCTATATTTTTTTTCTTTGCTTCATCCCTGAAAACGTAACTTCTTCAAGGAAAAATAAGCTTTCTTCTGGCAGCATTACAAGTTGAGTTTGCCTGTGGCTTAAGCCTACAGAGACAGTGCAGGAGCCAGCTACTCTACCATATTCTAATAGTTCAGCCCGCACTCATTAAAGCAGCACAAAAGACTAATCACATCTGCAGCGCTTTGATTTACATGCAATTAAAGTTTCATGTAAACCCAGATAAACCAGACAGGAGGAGAGCCAGAGACGAGAAAGGAGAAGAGAGGAGGAGGAGGGCTGTGGGGATAAGAGAAGAGGAGATTAAGGAACAGATTGAGACGCCAGAGAAGAGAGCAGATGTGTACAGAAACCAGGCGCAAAAGAGAGGAAGGTGGGGACAAAAAGGAGAAGGGGGGGGGAGTAGACAAGGAGAAGAGCAGAGAGGAGAGGAGAGGTGAAGCAAACCATCATTTGGCAGAAGTGATGACACAGCACATCCATCTCAGTGGCAGGTGCCTGCTGTTGCTCCTTTTACAGAGGACACAAAATAACTGAGCTCTGCACCAGCGTAACTCTGTGGTAATACAGCGCCCAGAGACAACAGAGATAATAAAGACTGCTGATTGTCTCATCTAAAAATGTTAGTTCATAAATCGTCCATAACTTTGCTCTAATTTCTATCAATCAGTATAGCATTATGTAGAAAAACAATTGAATTAGTTTGCTTTTTTTAATCAGCTAAATGATCAGCTTTCATCATCTTTTACTTGATGCTCTAATTAGTTGATCTCTTACCTATTCTTGCTACCCCTGGCGTTGTTCGGACATGTTCCTTGATATTGACGCCAGTACTAATCACAACTCGTAAAATGGAAAAATGACAACAAATATTGTTCTTCTTCTTGGTTAAATCATTCCTTATCTTTTGTTCAGTCTTCGACTTCTCCAGTCTGCTGTTGAGCCGAGACTATGGACTTGTTTGCTCAGATGCTGCATTTGCTTATGTAACATAATGGTTAGAAAATCAGTAATCGTACTCTGCAGGCACTTGATATTTCCACTTGAAGGCACTGCTATATATGAAGGTAATGTGATGGATGCGACTTGACAAGGAATAAACTAGTCAAGCGCAAAGCGAAGCAGCCAAAAACTAGAGATAAACATGTGAGAGTGAAAAGGGAATTATAAAACAACAAGCTGGCTTGTTAATCAGCCAAATAATTGAACAAACAATGATGTGTAATTCTTTTTCAAAAGCCCACAGTCATAAACACAAACAATATGTATCTACTGTGGGCGGGTTGATCAGTGTGTGATCATTAACTCATCACCCCAGACACACGAATGGTTTCTAAGCGAGTTATATGCAAGGTTGGGCAGTAAATAACATCCTGAAAATAACAGGGGGGAGAAGGGGAATGAAAGCAAGACGAGGGGGGATGGTGCAAATAATAATGAAGCAAATAAAAGAGACACCCATTTCCCAGATGTGATCTGTGCCTCAGTCTAGGCAAGTCGATGTTGTGTTACTGTGTGTGTATAGAATGTGTGTGTGTTGCAAGGTTTTCTTATGTATATGTTTCCCACTGAGCTCTCACGATGAGTCAAAATGAGTCACATCATTCTATCAATCACCCCCACTTACAGTACAGCATCTGTGTGTACGTGTGTGTGTGTGTGTGTGGTGTGTGTGTGTGTGTGTGTGTATGTGTGTGTTGCTTGAGGTCAGAATGCAGTCAAACATTAAAACTGCAGTCCTACACATTTTCGCCCACAGAATAACCAATGAACTCCAAACTATAACTTTATACTGAAGCAGTGCTTTATCTTTATCGTTTCTGCTTCAGACACAGAGCAAACATAAAGTAGTTGGATACACAGTTACTTACAAAAAGGCAACCTGTATAATATTTCCTGTTCACTTCTTAATTTAGCTAAAAAGAAACAAAGAAACGAAATGAAGACGTAGCACTTAATTCTTCCATAACCTTTTTGTTTTGGGTAATAGTTCAAATGGACATACACTGTGCTGTACATGAAGTACGCATCAGTCCATCAGCAGTGAAAAACATCAGCAAGTCACCTGGTCATCCCTCTCACTGAACAGATACAGCTGGTCTCATTGTCAATCAGAGCTCCTTTCAAATAGATCTACAGCTGGAGGCGCTCCAGGGAATATGTAAACACACTCTGCAACGCATGCTCCCACAAACCGCGTTACACACTTCCCCAAGCTCTCTTTCCAACAAGTAAACCAATATGCAAACACAAGCAGGCATTACCACCGTTATTTATATCACCTTCCCTTGACCATACTGTGTTACACAATCAAACTCTTGGCATCTTCAATCCCACTCACTCAGCTTTCTGCTGTCACACACACTTCACATTCCTACCGCTAATATGAAGTGCATTCTTTTATTTCTGAATTTGTTGTTAAATTGCCTTAAAAATAGATGTCCTCCTCCTGTCTTGGCCGGGTCTTCCTTAAATATAAAAAGCCTATTTTGGAGTGACAAAAAAGGGTTGCTTTGAAACAATCCCTATGTCGCACAGATATTTAACATACTGATCACACACAGATCACCACTCCCAAATACAAAAGAAGAAAACAAAGTCACTCACAAGTGTCCCTTTGGATCCCGTCTGTTGCACAAGGTGTGGTGGACATCCCAGCAGGATGCTTGTTGCCCTCACAAGATAACCAAAAGGGAGGGAGAGAGGGGAAGGCAGACGGCACGACGATAGTACACCGAAAACTCCACCGATCACAACACCACCTGCCCACCACGCATCCTCACGCTGTCTCTCACACGGCACACATGCTCCTCCATACAAAGAGGGCTCCAGAAAGGCTACACACACCATTCTCATGCAGAGTCAGCTCGCAAGACACACACATACACACTCGAACCGGTGAGGCGTACTTAAGATCCCTACACCCACGGAAAACAACACTACGTGCCATGTATGTATGGGGCGCTGCACCAATGTCTAGCTCCAGTGTGAGGACTGCTGAGGCTGACAGAGGAGATGATAGAGAAGGATAAGACGAGTGGAGCGTACCACTTGCTGCCTGAAGCGAGTGGAGGAGGGGGACCAGAGAGGAGGGGGGTGGGAGAGAGGCCCTGTGTGTGTTAGGAGCAGAGAGGAAAGGAAGAGAAATAAGGAGGCACTGATGATTAGTGTGTGTGTTTGGTAACAGTGTAGTGGACGTGACATGTTTTATAACCCAATGAACACGATTGACCTCTGACCTTTGAATAAACGGTGATGGCCCTCTTCACGTCGGACTGCTTCTATGCTTCTATCTACCTGACTCGTAAATAAGTACCTAATAAAGTGTAAACAGAGTTAAGATGGCAAAGCAACACAATAGAGTAACTTTCCAAAAGGTCAGGTTTTGTCTCTTCAGTTTTCATAACGCACACAACACGGTCAAAAGTGAAACACACTCGGGCCCACGCCCACTCTGTCTGCCTCCACTGCCTGAGGGGGGGACATAATCATCTTCCTCATTAGCATGATGCTGTGAAGAGCATCTCAGCTCCACCTAGCCCTGTCTCCTTCTCTTATGTCCTTCACTAACTTCTCCTTTCTCTATTTCCCTCTGGGTTGCCCCCTCTTGTTCAATGCATTTTAAGTGCAATTGCAACCACTAAAGACACATGATTGCTGTATCAATTTTGTAAATGTAGGAATCAGAGAAGGGGGGAAATATCAAAATAGGCTGGAATAATGCATTTACATCAAACAACATAAGACTTAAGAGAAAAAAGGGGAGTGAGTCACTAAACCCTGAAGCTTAAGGACACACACACACACACACACACACACAACACACACACACACACACACACACACACACACAACACACACACACACACACACACAACACACACACACACACACACACACACACACACATCCACATAACGTCAACCCTGGCTTTCATCTTTATGACACATCATAGCCCTGAACGCCTGAGGGGCTTTTTGCAGGAGAAATAAGACACAAACACCACCAGCCACAATCAATAGCATTTAGATACAGCTTCACAAGTCACACTGCAGGGAGCTCCTCAAAAATATCCTAAGAGCCTTAATTAGCTCTGGGTGATTATAACTACACCTTACAATGAGCTGGGGGGTGAAAAGTGCACCGGCCGGACTTTGGGAGGAACTCCTGAAACATGAAATCCTGCAGAGCAAGAAGAAGAAGTATTAAAAAGATAATTGGAGCCCTCAGATCACACATAAATTCTTAATCAGCTAATTATAAATAACAGTTAACAGCAGTTAATTCAGATATCACTGCACTGATCAACAAAAATATGTGTTGCTTAGCAACTACTTTTTTAAGCTGCTGTTCCAGAAGTAATTATTTAATGTTTTTTAATTGTTGTTAAACAGAACACATTATCTTCACCTTTTAATATAAAAGTCTGTTGCTTCTGTTTTTGTTCATTAGCATTTAAAGTGGAATCTAAAGCCTTGAAAAGGTTAAGAAAAGTAAGACTTCACCAACGTAGTGTGTTTTTAAAATGCTTTGTGACCATCCTGAATATCCTGATCCTTGACAATGATAACGTCTGCAGAGAGTTTGAACTGCACTTGCAGCTAGTTGCATAAGATACTATATGAAACCATGGGAACTTGATTAACATTTCGAATGTCTCTTCATGCATGCAAGGCAGGCAACTTCTGACCATGACACTTACCACATTCATCGTCTTAATATTTCAATAAATGCAAAAGAAAATACTGCACTCCTTTGCTTTGCAGATGTGAGAGATGGCAGCATCCACCCAGTTCCTTGATCTGTAGCACTCCTAACCATTGACTAATGAGAATTGGGCTTACAGATATCAAAATGTTAACCAGTACATTAACCATGATCCTCCAGCGAGGAAGTGGGTAGCAAATGTATGACTCATCTGTCATGTGAACGACCTCACAGCCCTTTTTCTAGTATAACAAAGATTCCTCAAAATAAATGTTTTTCATAGAAAACACAGCACTAGTTGAGTAATTCAAATCCACTAACAAGAATCACATTACAGGATTACTTTTAAGATGTTAGAAAGTTGTATTTTCTTTCCAAGATATCTGAGATTACCAGTATTATCTAGTAGTGTCTTCCACAAAATCTCACTGTCACAGCTGCAGTATTTAGGGGCAAGAACGTATCTCCAAATGAACTCCGAGCACGTAATACCCAACAGAATGTGTATATATAACCAAACCAATTTGGTTTATTAGCACTAACGGTGCAAACATTAATTGACCATTCACATTTTTCACTTTCAAATGTAAGAGGCTGCTTTTAATGTTTGCAACTCCACAACAGTGTGGGTGTGAATGAAAAGCTGTGGGTGTGCAGAGAAAATGAACATCACTGCATTGTAAACTTATAACTAATTTGTGTTTACAGAGCAAAGTGCTGGGAACTTAATGTGACAGATGTTGAATAATTCCCTCCATGGCTATTCTATTAATTAAGCAGCAACTAACACTGGCCATTGTTCAGTGTATAGAGCAAACAGGTATTTGAAGATGAGTTATTTTCTTTAACTCTCTTGAATTCAGATTGTCTCCTCTCCTTTTGCATCAGTATCAACACGAGAACCCTCCATCATCTCGTTGCTTTCCCTCATGTCTTACTGTGCAATAACTTCCTTTGTTAAACATATGACACTTCACCAACCATAACTAGTTCTTACAAACACACTGAGGCCTAAATTAATTTTTTGTTTAAACTGCCAAGTGTATTGAGAGGACTAACAGATGAGAATAAATAGACACAAAAATACAGTTGCCTTGGAAACAGAAATTCTGCAGTCCAGTTTTATGTAATCCATGCAGACACATGCCAAATTCTCCAGGCCGTCCACAAACTTGTCAACTCTCTTGTCCAAGAGTCCAAAAGGAACAATGCTTTTCTCTTTTTCTGTATTATTGATGTTACATAATGGCTGGGGAGCTCGCCAAATCTACTCTCTCAATACAAAACTGCAAATCCAAATCAAGACATAACATTACTTTCCCCAGGTAAGAGAACTTAAAATGTTCAGCAAACCAGCACTTTTCGGATATCCTTCTATCTTTCATTTTTAACAAATTAAGGCTGATTACATTTCTATCCCATCTCACTCAATAGAGTCCATATTTTACCACTAATTTTAGCCTTCAGATTTAGGACCGAGCACCTAACCATTTCAAATCAATGTGAAACTGCCTATTAAAAAATTGAAATTAAGGAATTCTTGACTATACTGGACACCCAGTGTGAATCTCAGAAACAGGACAGCAATGATGGGCTAAGTAATGTATATCTTCTTTTAAATGTCATGAATGAATTGTCTTAAGTGTTAATATTGGACCAAATGTAGCAGTAAATATATCTTCCAGTGATGGTGGCTGTGCAGCTGTTTTGTCAGCTGTCTGTTGAAAGATGTATACTTCTTCTCATCAAGTGGAAAATGTTGTAATTTTCAGAAATCCCTGATATCTCAGGGTATTTCAAACTCAGTTACTCGTAATTCAATCTGATGATTATATGACGTGCGTGCAGCACAATCTAGACTAATGTTACAAGCTAACACAGGTCAGCCAACAGGAGAATACTACTGTAGCTGCAATGTGCCTTGATAATAGCTGATGTCAGAACCCAGCTTTATAATTCACCGAGCCTCACCATCTGCACCCCCCACCCTCTGAGGGCAGAAATGCTGTTTCAGTGTTACAGGAATGTCGGCTTTGTACCAGAAAGCTGAGCGACTTCATATTTAGAGCCATTGATCCCTGCGTGTCAGGTGCCATTATTTTATCTTACTGATGCAAGTGGTCGATATGATAATCATCATCCCCTTTTGTCACCTATAAATGTCCAGCAATCAGGACAGACTTTTGTGTCAAGCTTCTGCTTTTCTGAGGGGAGCAGATTGATGCGGTTCAACCACATAGTGCCCCCCCAGGTGCTTCTCTTTCAGTTTCACGGCATGACTAAACTAAAAGAGCCCCTGGAGCAGAGCTGGAGGGATTACATTTCCCAGCTGCCCTGAGAATGTCAGAAGGAGCTGGGGGACATCAGTGGAAAAGTGGGCTTCATTGAGGCTGCTCAGCTTGATCTGCTGCCGCCACGACCCTGACCTGGATCTGTGACTTGAATTTGGATGGATGGACTAATATAATCTTCGTTGGCTGACACTGTAGATTCAAGCTAGTGAGGTTTTTTTCATCACAGGGACACATTTAAATAAAGATCTCTTTCTTAATATTTTTAAGCAGTTCATTTATAATTGTTTATTGCAGCAGCTTGTTTGGGTTTTGTAGGAACCAGCCTAAATCTAAATGTACTATTAAGAAGGCAACATAAACTTGAAGTCTATGTCAACATGTCATCCTCCATAAATATATAGAGTCATATTCCGGGTCTAAATGGGTCACTTTTAGTACATCCCCTCAGGGCCAATGGCTGAAATAAAGTGGCATGAGAGATTGTGTTTTTTGAAAAGTAGAAGTCAACTATTTACAGTGTAGTGCACCACTTCTGCATGATCACTAATTTGGTAAAACAAAAGAAGGAGAATCAGGTTTTCTTCAAATCCATTCAGTTGTGTTTGATATTTTGTGTTTGATATTTAGTGTTGTGCCCAGTGGGATTGTGTTGGCAGGCCAACTCTTCATAAACTAGAAAATAGATCTTTAAGGAAGGGAGAGAGCAGAGAAGGCTACACTGGAAGAAATAAAGGGAAAGGCCATTGCCGTCTTTGTGCTGTAAAGTAGACCCAAACTGACTGCTTAAGTTTGTCATCCCATATGTTAATATGTAATTCTCAAGCATTTCATTTTTCTAATCTATCTTTCTCTTGTTCTAACTCTCACTGGTATAGTGCGAGTGATTTTAAATGT